CTGTGAAAATATTATTCTGTGTTCTACATGGGAACTAGGGATGCTCAGTGTATAGGCCTACATCCTCATCAGTGCTATCCCTGGGCTTCAGAAGCATCTGCTGGGAGCACCCAGGAGAAACAAGTGGAACACTAGGCCCTATCCCTGTGTGGGAGGGTTTTTTCCTGGATTCCAACACTCTCGTTCGCGAGAAAGCTAAAGAAAAGGAAAGTACCCAGGACCAAGAGCAGGAAGAATAAAGTGAAACTAACACTCAGGTCTCCTGACACAGTGGGATTAAGGGCAGGCCAGGCAAGCAGCTGCTCATACACTGATCTACAAAGAGTGCCAAGGCATCCCTGGAAGAGATCAGGAGTATGGGGCCCGCGGATGGGTTGAACTGTGTCCCCAAAAGGTATGTGTTTTAAGTCCTATATTGAATATACCACGGGCAGCTAGAAGAACAAAGAAATCTGTGTTGGAGGAAGTACAGCCAGAACGCACCTTAAAAGAGAGAATGGCTAGACTTTTGCTCTCATACTTTGGTCGTGTTGTCAGAAGGGACGAGTCCCTGGAGAAGGCGATCATGCTGAGTAAAGTAGAGAGGGTCAGCCAAAGAGGGGAAGATGCTCAACAAGATGGACTGACACAGTGGCTGCAATGATGGGCTCAAGCATGGCAATGATTGGGAGGACAGTGCAGGACCAGGAGGTGTTTCATTCTGTTGATTAGGGTTGCTATGAGTCTGAACTGACTCAAAGGCACCTAACGACATGCCTGTAGTTATAATGCCATTTGGGAATGGGCTATCCTTGTTATGTTAATGAGGCAGGATCAGTATAGGGTATATTTTGAGTTAATCTCTTCTGAGATATACAAGATTAAATAAGTGAGTAGGGCAGAGATGGGGGAAGACGGCCAAGCCACATGAAGACGGCCCAGGACTGAAGTCCAAAGAGACAAGGAGCTTCCTCCAGAGCTGATAGAGAGAGAAAGGCTTACCTTAGAGCTGGCACTCTGAATTCAGACTTCCAGCCTCCTAAACCACGAGAAAATACATTTCTGTTTGTCAAAGCCACCCACTTGTGGTATTTCTGTTATAGCAGCACTAGATAAGTGAGAAAGACCCACTAACACAGGTTTCTACAAGCCATCCCTTACAAATGCTTCTGCTTGTCCTGGAGCTTACCAGGTTACGCCTGCTATTTAACTTAATTATTAATAGCAACCCCTTTTCTCACAAAGTGTACTAGTTTGGATGATTAACAATGGTCATCTTCTGTTTCATCCATGTAACAAATTACTTGCACAAAATGACTGAATCAGATATTTTCTAGTAAGAATTGTACTTTCAGGGTAACCAACTGAGGAGAGAACCTTATACTTCAGAGAGGAATAAAAAAAATCCAAAGTCAATTCTGGCTTGTAGCAAACCCATGTGTGTCAGGATAGACCTGGACGCCACGGGTTTTTCAATGGTGCATTTTTCAGAAGTAGATCACCTGGTCTTTCTCTGACGTGACTCTAAGTGAACTCGAACCTCCAACCTTTCAGACAGCAGCCAAGCACGTTAACCATTTGCACTACCCAGGGACTCCCACAGAAGAATGCTAACTAATAAGTGTAAATGAACTGATGAAAGTAGGAAAACATTATTTTATAAATTCTAATAGAATGATTAATTTAGGTCAAGAATTATCAATTACAATGAAAATTAGTAGACAAAGACTTGGTGAGGAACTGGAAATCATATAGCGACAAAGTAACACCACACAGATTGTTTTTGGTGGCAAGAGGAAAAATATAACTTAATAACAGAGGTGCCACTACCCTAATACTATGGTGAATCTTCACTTCACCAGTGATGGGTATGCCTGATACAGGTGGTGTCTCTTGATGTGACTAAGTGCACAATACCACCTGTAATGCATTTGAGTCACAATGCTTAACTTGAACCTAATCAAGTCTTCAAATCTAACTTCCAGTTTACAGTAAATACAAGAGAAAGAGGGCCAAGCTAAATTATACTACTGCAGAAGAAACCAGGCAAATCCAGAAGGTGGAACATTCTACAGGAAAATCAAGCCAATCTCTTCAATATGCCAATGTAATACCAAATGGGACTGTGCTAGATTCAAAGAATTTTAAAAGACATCAGCCACCTGCAATATCTGGTCCCAAAACTGGCCAGTTCTGTTGGATATTTTGAAGGAATCTGGAAAATCTGAGTATGAACCGGATACAGAATGATAAAAAGGCCTGATTATTAATTTAGATATAATACTGTATTATTTACCATGCATGAAAATATTTTATTTTTCAAAGGCATGCATACAGAAATGCCTAGGGGTAGAAAGACATGTTGATAAATAATTTACTTCATCACTTCAGCATAAAAAGAGGGTTAAAAAAGAATTAGGTATATATACATAAATACATACCCATGTACATGTTTAATTTAGAAAAATAAATTCCTCCCCATCCCCACTAGGTGAAGGTGTTGTTGTGAGCCCGCCCCGACTCATAGCAACCCCTCCTTGGGTTTCCGAGGCAGTATCACTACAGAAGTGGGATTGCCCAACATTCCTTCTGAGGAGTGGCTGGTGGGTTTGAACTGTCAGCCTTCTGGTTAGCAGTCAAGTGCCTTAGGCACTATGCTACCAGAGCTCCTAGGTGAAGGTAGAGGCATTTAAAGACTATTCATTTGAGGAAGCTACAGGTGGCCTGTCTCAGGTGCCCCACATTCTGGCCTGACTCCATCATAAGGGATGTGCTCAAAGAGCAGGTTTATTTCTATGGTGGATTCAGACTGCACTGACAGATTCTGAGATGAGGGCTTTGGCAGAATCACAGCACTAAGAGGGGCTGGAAAGTGTCCTGTTTGTTTAGCTCTTTGCTTTAAAGTAAGTAGATATGGCAGCATACAGTTCTACCAATTAATGAGTACGTCTGTTTAGAAATTCACAAATCTAAACTAAGGGAATGTTAGCAGGGATAGAGCCTTGTTTCAGGAAGGCATCCACAGGAGCTGATACAATGTCCTCTGTGCAAACAGGAATCTCTCAGAGGGTCTCTCCCTGGAGCAGAAGACAAACCAAGTTCCTAAGGGGAAGTCCTAACCTGGCTACGTCATTAGACAATGGTGCTTTGACTCCCCAGTAGCAAGGCCTCTCTGTAAGGAGAATGTTACAGCTTAACAGGTAAGGAAAAGAAAAAGTGGAAAGAAGTGGAGACAAGATAAAAGTAAAAGGATAGAAGTTAGAAGAAAAATGATGAGAGGCAGAGGATATATTAGAGCAAGCCAGGACAGGACTCACTGTAGCAAAGTGAGAAGTAAAAAAGGGTTGAAGGACAACTAGAGAAACTCAAAAGATGAGGGTGGAAGAGAAAAACAAGTAGACAGCAAAAGACATGATGAGCAGGAGCAGGGAATGATGGATAAAACACATCAGCAACATGGGGAGGTAGATGAAATTTGAAATGGCAGAGGAAACAGAAGGATAGAGGGGGGAGGAAGGAAAGAAAGACAGCTGGTCAAAGGTTGAGGGGGCAGAATTTGGAACAGATGAGAGTGGAATGCATCTTTTCATCTCTGTCTAACCAAACACTCACATAGTAGTAAGTCAGGATGCAGGAAAGAAAGGAGGCAAGAAATAGATGGAGAGAGAGTAAGCAAAAGGTAAGAGAAGGCAGGCGAGAGAATGGCAGACAAGAAAGAATAGGCGTGAAAAGCGCAATGTGAAGGTGTGAAAGAAGGAAAACGAAAACAGAGTTAGTCAAGTACATATTTCAGAGACCTACAAGAGGCTTAATGTTACTTAAAATTACGACAGAAGTGGTGCTCATGAACATTCTATTTCACATTCCCAAATTATGTAATTCAAATTTATTGTGAGAATACAAGGAATATTTTGACAAAGCAACATTTCTATGGCTGATGTGAATTCTAACGTACCTTATGCAAATGCGTGGAACTGAGTAAAAGTATGATCAACTTTATTGGGAGAAAAAAAAAAAAAAAACCCAACTACATGGCTCTTAGATTTCTAATGAACTACTGAGTGAGGCCAATGAGCCTATCAAGGGTTCCTTTTCCCCAAGACCCTGGTCTTATCCAGTGGGTCATTTTATCGTATGAACTTGGCCTATGGCTGCTGAATATTTTCCACCCATTCTTCTGTCTCCTAGAACCAAAACAAGAGGGGAATGCTGGGTTAATATAATTAATGTAGACAGAAATCTGGCTAAGTATTACAAAAAAGCCATCTCTCAGGCGCCTGGTTATCTAGATTGCTGACTACATTGATTACATTAATCCAATGATTACCAAATCTTTACTCTCTTTCTATGAGGCAAGACTTAAACAAGAAAGCTAACCAATCTCTCTAAGATGCAAAAAGCTTTCCCAGGACACATGATTCTGATTGACATCTCAAAAAATAATTCTGGAATGCACATATAATTAGACTCATGTGCAATTTTCACGCAAAGGAAAACCTATCCATCAACACTATTGTGGTCTTCCAGAAACAGTCAAGGTTCTGCATCTGGAAACTGGAAACTACGAAGTCTGATGTTTTAAGAAGCCATAATCAAGCATATTTTTGTTTGCAGTTTCTAATGTGTGTGGGTGTTTTCTAGTACACAAATAAGATCAGAAATTTTTATCAGTAATTATTACTACAAGATTTTGAATAACAATGAAGTATGTGTTTGAGAAAAGCTACTTTGTAATTTCAGGAGAAGAGACAGGTTGGAGGAATCAGATTCCTGGAGCCTGCAGTTTGCTTTTCAAGCAGAAAACAGAACAGAAATATTCTTCCTGACTCACAATATCAGTCTCTTATAATATGAGCTAGCTTAAAGAATCTGACACATGTTTAATATCTATACTTTGCAATTTGAAGTTTGAATTAGATACTATATACACAACACAGAACACTGGCTTATGATAATCACAGAGAACCTAGAGGTGGAAAGAGAGTAAAGAGATTCATATGGTCGCTGGGAAGAATACTCACTATTTGGTAGAGTCAGACAACTGGTATTCTCGTCGTCTATCATAGCACTCCTGGATTCCAGGATCGTTCCATAAACTCTTTATTGCATCTACGTATGGGCTCTCAAAAGCAGAAACCTTTTCCACATCAACTTCTCGAACTAATTGTGCATGGGCCTGTTAAAAAAAAAAAAAAAAAAGCAGTTTAAATTCTCTTGCCATCACTGAAAATTGTCTTTAGTTAGCACATTGTATTTTGCACAATTCAGGTAACATCTTTTCTAATTGGTTAATAAGAAAGTAATGCTTTCTTCTTTTTCTTCTTCTTCTTTTCTTAAAGGTAAGAACTCAGGTTTAACTCTTTCCCTCTAGAGTAAAACTTAAACAGCTCTGGTAGCACAGTGCCTAAGGCATTTGACTGCTAACCAGGAGGAGGTTGGAGGTTCAAACCCACCAGCCACTCCATGGAAGAAAGACTGGACAATCTACTTCCATAAAGATTTACTGTCTTGGAAACCCAAAGGGGGTCATTATGAGTTGGAATCGACCTGATGGCAGTGAGTTTTTTTTTTTTTTTTTTGGTTTAGAGTAAAACATGAGGCTACTTAAAGTTGATTTAAGGAAACTGGTCAGCTCCCATGAGAACAATGAATAAGTCATGCTAAACATAAGACTGTTTTTAGGTGATTATCATATTCCTGAAACAATTAATATTAATAAAGGGGAAAATGACAATTCTCTCCTCTATGTTTATAATACATATATGATCTAACACAAAATGTACCCAGCATATAAGTGTTAAGTGTGGTTGTTGAAACTCAACTAATCACAATCCTCCAACAACAATACCTATCCCCATTCCCACATACTTCAACTTCCAACATACTTACTTTGTATTTTCATTATCTACATTATCAGAGTGAGGACCCTATGTGGCTTTTTAAACAATGAAAGAAGACTTTGTTATCATCATCATACATTTACAAAATGTTAGGAAAAGGGTAAGGAGATTTTAAAAACATTTTCAACAAGATTAAAATAAAAATGTCTTACGGTCAACCCTGAAATTAACCAGAATACACCATTGCCTGACAATTCTTATCAAAGTAGATTTCACGGAATGTAATATATATGCAAATTATACATACATATGCAAATAAACATAAATATAACAAGTAATTATATCATAACTAATCATATTGGAAATGAGAGCCAGATGGCTGATAATTTATTGAAATACTCCTGACTTTGTACAGAAATACAATACAACCCTTTGAACTGGTTAGTGAAAGGCTATCATGATCAAATGATGGCCTAGTTATTCACTTTATGGAATTTTAGGCAGATGTAATTTCCATAAATTTCATCCAAGTTAGGCCCTGTCTGGTTCCCAATCTTTACTTTCCTTCCTTCTCTTCCCTTAAGTGGGGAAGGTCTCCTATCAAAAATCTTGACTTATGTAAGGTTTTAAAAAGCCCAATACATTGAGACTGTATTTATCACTTTTCTTGGTAGCTGTGCTCTGACTCTGAGAGTCAGATGAAGTAACTGAGCAGTCCTAGTCCCACCTTGTACCCCAATTTCGGAAAATGGGTCCTTGTAGTTGCTTTCTTTATTTGTCTCTGACCAGGTCATGCCTTGTTATCTTACCAGAAATCTTACCAGCCTGGAGTGCTATCTTTGATTCCTATTCTAGATGGGGTCCTATCTCTTCTGTAGTTCCCTTGAGACTCACCCTTCAGAAATCAGAGTATCACTGGCTCCTACAATCCCAGATGCTGTGCTCTGCTTGGATAGTTAGGGCCTGTTACTTAGTGCTAAACCTCCTAGATACTGAGGATTGTGTTGGATCCCTTTTGCTCTGCTTTTTGCCTGCATAATGAACCACCTCCAAGTATCAAAAGCTAGATGTATGGGCTTCCTCCACTCTGCCCAACATCAACAGGTATGTCTAATGTCAAGTCTCATACACCTTTCCTTGCATAAGTTCTGACTTGTTGCGTCCTGAGATATGACAATGATCACCCTTGGTATAATCATGAATTAGATTCCTGTGGCTGTGCCCATATTACAGGATTCTCTTCAGGATTCTGTGATTCTTGAGGGACAGGAGGTAGGAGGGAGAATTTCCTACTGGATATACTCTGAAGACCAGGTTTCAAATCTGACTTCACTTCTGTTATATATGTGTATGCATGTGTACCTCTATATCCATTATTAGTAATATTAACCAATAATATTAATAATTATTGTTTTTATAGTATTACACAGTCACATCTGTGACAACGAGTGAGCAGATTATATCTACCTTGTAGAGTTATAGTCAAGCTAGCTAATGAAGAGGTGAGGTGCACAAGGCTTAGGGCCAGACACACAGTGGGTCCCCTTCCCCCTGTACAGTCTGTTGAATGAATGAGAGCAAAGTGCTTCTCTCTAAATGTTTTCCATAAATATTTCATCTTAATGATCAGTGGGTGCTTCCACATGGGAGTAAGTGTCAGTTCACAGGGTGGTAGCCTGGGCTTAGGCCTGGTAGATTCTGATTATGCTGAACAAGATAGATTCAAATCTGACTCTGCTTCTTAATAGCTTGTGACCCTGGGTAACTTCCTTAACCTTCCTAAATGTTATTTCCTGGCAGGGAACAGACTGCATCATCTGCCTCATGTGGATTTGTACAAATCAGTAATAATACTGTAGGTCAGTGGTTCTCAAAGGGAAGTCAAATTAGCAGTATCAGTATCACCTGGGAATTTGTTATAAATGAAAATCCTAGAATCCCTTCCCAGACTTGCTGAACAGGAAACTGGGTTTGGGCCCAGTAATCCCTATTTTCAGAGGCTCTTCGATGATTATGAGGCAGACAACCATTTGAGCACCACTGCAAACTATAAAGCACCACAAAGATATAAGTTGTTATGATTATAATCCAAAGGGTCAGTCATTCCAAAGCAGGGCTCATTAACAGATGGTTCGTAAGGGCCAACAAACCATGGAAATGAGTAAAGCAGACTGGCTAGGCATTAGGGAGTGGTAGGGACTGTGGCACACTGAGAAATACATGCTCTAATTAAAGAGATTAGCTGCTATTTGGAGAACCAATTTTTGCTATTGGGAACGTAGGCCCATTATAGCCAGATCCTCCAATCATTCAAGGAAAGTTAGAAATGAGGATTTTTCTATGTAATATCACTGATTTTAAATCTTGACAACCCTAAGCAAGATAAAGCATTATCTGTGCCTGAACTGTACTGTGGGCCTCTAATTTGCAATACTTATTCTAAAAGATTCTTGTCCATTTGCTTCCCTAATAAGTTTGACCAATAACATTATACCCTGTATAGAACCTGGAACATAGGTAGACACTGGTTAACTTACGCTAATGAATGAAAAATTTTCTAGGCCTTTTCAACAATAATATTTAGACAAACTATTATCTTTAGGGAGAAACGGTTGTGATCCCTCTCTAAACTGGGTAAAAGCTATGTGGTGATATAGATTAGTATAGGTAGTATTTCTAAAATGAATCTGATACTCTCTACTAGGCCAACCATGGAATGTGGATTGCGTTCTGTTTCTGGAGCAGTTGGCTTCTGCCAGAGAAAACAGTTTCAACATACCAAACACTTTTCACTTCTATGATTAAATGTTTACTGGACCCCGATGAGGTGCGAGGCAATACAGCAATCACAGAATTAGACATAGTTCCTTTCCAGGGGGAAATGTCCAGAAGCATGGCAAGCAAACAAAGCTCAGGATTAGGTGCCTGGGAGTAGAACAAGGAAGAATATTTGTATTTCCATCTTCAATTCCAGTTGACTGTAAGGCCATCTGAATAAAGACAACATTCCCAGCACTGTATAAAGCTGCTACTTTGCACAAAGAGCCTGCTACTTTCTATTGCCTGAAAACGCCCATCATTTTGCATCTCTGTTTATCACTACTTGCTTTTCCTTCCATCTGAAATGCCTTCCCTCTTCCTTTCTATACTTTATTTAGCTTTCATTGAGGGGCTATTTTATTGTATTTTTATGCACATAACATGTGTGTTATATGGTTTCATACCGTGCAATGCTCCCTTATGTTATTTTCCATAAGTGTACTACATTATAATTTTTTTCATGTTGCTCATTTCAACTTCATTTTTTTTTTTTTTTTCATCAAACGGATTTTATGTTAAGTCTTTGTCTTGGTGCCTACTGACTCAGAGATTTGGTTCCAAGCAGCAGACCTTCACCATCCTACGCTTAAGTTTCTAAAGCAGCCCCTCTCCTGATAAGATTCTCACCCTACTCTGCAAACCACTTTCTCCAATGCAGGAAATCAATTTTTCCATCCAGAAAGAGCCCTTCCCAAGGCAGCCGGCCTCAGCCCAGGAGATGTGCAAGTCTGTGCACTCCAGGCCAGAGAGGTCACGCAGGCAGGTGAGGTCTGCACATCACTGCCACACACATTCCACTCCATCGTACAGCTGCCACACTCGGGCTATTTGAGTATTCTGCCCACACAGATGCTGCAGGATGGGCATGAGAGCTGTGGGAGCAGAGGGCTCATGCCCCTTGCTCTTATAAGTTGGCTCCAACTGGCTGTCTGGGGGCCTTGCGGGGCTGAAGCAGTGTATGCTGGCACCTCAACCATCCCCCTGCTCAACTTCACCTGGGGCCGGCATCACGGGACCTGGGCCACGCAGACAATGACTCCTGCTCACTATGGAACCCATCTGGGTTTAGGCTGTGGCAGCTCTGCATGCAGCCCTCCTCCTGACCTGCTGCCAGTCTCCAGTACAACGTACCCAGGCAGGTTGTCTACAAGGAACTCTACTGCTCTCAGGCCCAGCTCTGAGCTGTCCCAGAGCAAATGCTCAGTTTTAACTACTGGGGTATTACCAAACTCAGTGCATGACTTCTTAACCAGGGCTTATATGTTTATTATAGAAAAAGAGGTATGCTTTACTCAGTGGTCCGTAATACTGTTAAGTTTTGTGAAACAGGGCACTATGTGATTTGGATGTTGTGCAAACACCACATTAAAATCTTATGGGAGCCTGCTTCCAGCCGTCCTCCTCACCACTGCTGCCTCTGCTGTTGTTCCTAGAGCTGCTGTCATAGGCTAGAGGAACGGCAGTGGTGGCAGGAGCAGAGTGAAAGGAAGAGAGCAGGGAAGAAATGGACAAATGG